CTTTGTAACGTCTACTGCCACTTTTGACGACCAAGACAAATTTCTCCCTGCGAGATGAACAAAGATTTTCATTGTCATTGTCATTGTTAAAGTTCTCAGCTAGCTGTTTCACCGTGTGGGTGGTTGGCGGGTGCTCTGGTGTGGTTTGCTTCCTCTTTCTTATCAAAAATCCATCGTCTTTATCTCCCCTCCTTCTTTTTTTGTGTGTCTGTTACTCTCTTGTAACACCTCTAATTTTCGGCACTTGTATGACCGTTAATTTTGGTGCAAATAGAGTTATTAAAGCTTGTTCATTTGTTTTGCTTTGGATGAAAAAAAATATCCTTTTGTCTTCAATAGAAGTCGAGATATTTGTGATTGAAAAAGATGGGGTCACTTGGTGTCAGTGGTAAAATTAGAGAGAAAATAGTCGCCAAAGTTTGATAATTTCAATTGGTTGAGAGTTCTTGAAAACAATAAAATTACATATTGTGTGCCTTTAATAAACGTTTTTTTAAAGTAGAATTCATATAGAAATATGTTTTTATATGGACACGAAAGGTGTTGAACCAAAAAACAAAAATTTGATAAAAATTGCTAAACTCGCGGGAAAATGCCTATTTCTTCGATTTCAGGATTTTTACAAGTGCCTGATTTCATCACGATGCTTCACATTTTGTTTTTTTTTAACTTCCGTATAATCGTCTGCTTCCTTCATCTCTAGCCCCACCCCTCCCCAGTCTCTCCGACAACCTCCAGGCACCACAAAAAGCTACCTCTGGGAGTATCTTCTTTGACCACAGGATATCAGGACATCGTAGAAAGGCGTCACCTGGTTATTTGCTTGTGCCTTGACCCCGGGAAGATGTAGAACTGATGTACATCATTCAGACTCTTTTTGTTGTTGGAGTAAAGAGACGCACATCGTTGCAATAACTGTCATTTCGTGCTGGGGGGGAAGTAAGACAGGCAGACAGTCAGAAACAACAGAGGGGAACGTAAAGAGGTAGGACCTACTAGTGGCACCCTCCAACCACCCACAGAGACAGAGAGAAACAACAGAGGGGAACGTTAAGAAGTAGGACC